TTAAAGCTTGCTGTGAATACATTTCCGCAAAATGACTTTTCAATCGAACAAAGAGTGTTTATTCTTGAAACTTATTTTCGAAGTAAAGCGTTTAAAACGTTAAACGAAAAGTTCAAAATAAAATATTCAGAGACGGCAACTCCTGTAAAAAGTGTTGTGCAGAATTTGATCACTAAATTTAGAGCAACAGGTTCAGTTGCTAACGCCAAACGTAACCCTGTAAAGAAAGTTTGTTCGCTGGAAAATATTGAACGTATTCAAGAGAATGGTAAGAAGTGCGCGGAAATCAATTAGGCATCTATCCACCCAACAAACATCAAACGAACGTCATGCCAGAACATGGTGAAGCAGTTACATATGCGAAGATACAAATTAAAGGGTACGCAAACATTAAAATCTACGGATTACGCACAATGACAACACTATTTCGAATCGATACTCATGCATGTAGCTGATACTTATTTGGATCCAAATCTTTATTTCATCACTGACGAAGCATGGTTTCACCTTAACGGGTACGTGAATTCTCAAAACATACGTTATTGGTCAACAGACAATCCCAGAGAACGTTTTAAGGTAACTCTGCATGATCTGAAAATAGGCATTTCGTGTGCAGTTTCAGGCCAATTGATTGTAAGCTCCATTTTCTTTAATAACAGCATAAACTGTCAAGTGTACGTAACGGAATTGTTGGAATTATTCATAGCGCAGCTGACGGAAGAAGAACAAGGGTATGAAGTTTTCCAGCAACATGGCGCTACGGCACATCTTCACGGTTTTCTATGCCATACGTCCATGAAGCTTTCGGAGAAGAACGTGCAGACTCCGCAGGTTTATGGCCTCCCAGATCTCCCGATTTGTCTACTTGTGATTTTTATTTGAGGGGTAATTTAAAGGGTAAGGTCTAAAGTATCAACCTGCATATAATTTAAGAGTTGAAAACAAACATTTGCAATGCGATTGCGGAAATCACTCCAAATGAAATGGCAAAAGTTTCCAGAAACGTGTTGTGATGTGTGAGTTGTGTATCGAAGTTCATGATGAACATTTTCAGCACATCCTGTGAATTATTGACTGAATGTTTAGTACGTTGTTCTTCATAATAATAATAATTTACCATTCTGTACTCTATATTTATAATAAACTAGTGAATTGTCTTATGTTATTAATAAGTCATAGGGTCTCTTTTATTTTAGCCACTCGACATAAGCACTGAAATCATACTCTGATTTTCAGACGTTTTTGGAGAAAAGTATTTCGAGCCAAACATGTAACATATGTTTCAATGACGCCAATCCGTTTAATGAATACACTGATCAAATCGAATTGCATAATACTAATTAAAGTTTAAGTTTCGCTTATTCGATGAAAATATAAATCAATTTGTTTGATTATTTCAAATAACATCATTATTTTTATTCACGTAAAGATTATTTTTGACGCCAATGGATTGAAAGTGAGTTTTCTGAGAAAATGTTTTCCATCTGGATTTTGTGACTTTGTATCATCATTTCGTAAATATTCTATGAATTTTAAATTTGATATTTTGTCATACACTGACTTATCCTCTTATTAAAAGATAATTATTAAAAGATTGTTCCTCTTATTAAAAGATAAACAACTTTATAATTTTTAATTTTATAAAAGCATTGGAAATTAAGTCGTAGGAGATACGTAAATACATAATTTTTAATACATTGATTATGTGGAATCAATTAATACTATTTTAATATTTGATTAAAACAATATTTTTATATTTGTTTAAAAGTATTAAAAATTGAAAAGTAAGAGAACTAAAAGTGCTTGCAATTAAATTTATTCACTTACAATTGACATTATATCTTTATATTAACTTAGACATTAAAATGAAAGTATATTAGATTATCCTAATTTTTTATTTGTTTGTATAACTTTCATTTCAGGAGGTGGCAGAATTTAGAAATCAGAGATTACAAGACATTAAATGCATTTTACGGCTAATAGCAGCTTTGAATATCTTGAAAAGAACTTTTCGTGCATTAATTTTCAATTTCCCTTTCGTTCTTTTGTTAAATTTAAAATGGAAATTTTCTGGTCAAACGCCAATTGTACCTCTTCTTCCTTAAACTAGCAACTCAATTAAGTCATTTATAAAACCAAGCAGAGTGATTTGAGTAACTTTCTTAAATAAGTTAAAAAAATATTTTATTTTCGCTTGCATTTTTTGCTCTTATTTTGCCATCTTTTTTGCTAATCGAAAACCGATGATCGAAAAGTGAGGAAATTTTTCGAAGATAAGCCAAACCAGTGCTTATTTTTAGATTACCTTCATTAACAAAAGTATTGGTTTTTATAAAACATATTTAATATTTAAATTCTAACGTACTTAAATTAATTCGAAATTTTTCTCTGTAAATCCCCTGTAAGAAATCTGTTTTTGTTAATAACGCATGCTCTAAAAATGAAATGAAGAGCTGAATTAACGACTGATTTGTCCTACCTATGAATAATCTAACAAAAAACATTAAATGGGAACATTGATTTTAATCTGAGTTTTGATAAATCGAAATAATAATGAATTTTTAATTTTTCTCTGCGGAATAACGTCTATTCGTCCATGTCACATTGGAAATCTTGTTCATCTTAAAACGTTTGTCAATCATTATTAGTAAAACAAATTTTCGTGCCTTCGTGATTTATTAGCAAATATGTTTCAAACTTTGCCGTTAGATTATATATCTAGACGTTAAGATGCATTTGTTTCTAGTCATGCACTCAGAATAAAACCTTTGAAGTAAAACCTTTATCTCTGCTAGATAAGACATCAAACCGTTATAAGACAGAAGTTAAAGTGTCAGAAATCATACTCAAATATGTTCGTTTTTCTTGAATGACCTTATTCGCACCTCGATTTAGATAATCGATTTAAATACACCTAACCTTTTTATTATTCATTAAAATTATTGCAATATAACGTTTGGAGCAAAATTCTCATGAGAATAATACCCAAAAATTATGTGGTGGTGAACATTATGGCGAGAATTACTGTCTTCTACTTAGTCTAAAATTACGCAAGTAAGTTATTGGTTCCAAGCACGTTTGCTTTGAGGGTTCTTGTATCAAAATTTTGAGGCTGTACTCAGAATCCGAACATAGGCCTATCTAAAATTTACGGCAAGTCGTCTGATGCGGCTAGCTTGGTTAATCAAAAATTTAAATGGAATATATGTTTCAAACTACACAACTATTCTAAATAAGTACTTATTTTGGAAAATCGTACTATTGAATAAATGAAAATATACGGATTGCAATTAATGGGAAGAGTGAGCTTTTTTTAAACACATAATTTGAAATCTTCGAATAAAATGGGGGTATAGCTGCCTCGCAATGAGTTTCCTCACTGTATTTGTTTTACATCACAACGATTATCAAAAAAAGTCATTTTTGAACAAATATGATTCCGCACATAGAATATTCATTCACCTTTATTGTCTATCTGACAGACAGATGGGTTCTTACATTTTAACTGTCTTGTAAAACAGCGTAATAAGACTTCCTTCTGTGAAAGTACATTCAGATGGAGTGTTTGCTCTAAAAGTGACTTGAATCCATGCCAGCTTGTCCACATTATCTTCTTGAAAGTCATTTCCAAACCAGTTAATATGCTGATAGATGTTTTTAAAATGCTATGTTTTGTACAGTGGGTATTAGATGTCCTTAGTTTCATAACACACATACACATATGGATGGTTCGATTCTAAAACCATACTAGCTAGCTAAAGAATGCGCCAGAAAAATGAACACGTAATTTAACAGATGGTATCTGCGTACCGGTTTTGAAGTTGAATTATCTCTACAATATGCAGTACGGTGTTTTTTACGAAGGTGTTGAGCACAGGCAATGCTGGAGGTCCTTCGTCAAGAAATTATAGCGGAATGTGCTACAGTCCCCGCGGACACATTTACCAAAGTGTTTCAAGCAGTCACTACGGATCTGGACACTAATGGCCACCACTCTGAGTAACTGTAAAGGTACAGGCGCATGAAGATTGTATTAAATCTAAGCTAACTTATGATATGTATATGTTTATACATGCATGAACTTACAGTAAAGTTCGGTATAAGACTCCTTAAGTATTTTCTTTCCTTAAAGTGTGTATACACTTTTCTAATGAATCCTGTATTATTTTTGTGAAAGTAGGAAATACCTTGAGGGCGCCTCTAGGATCTTCCAATATGTCATTCTTCTTCGTGAACTAAGTTCATGTGTTTGGGCGCCGGGGTAAGAAACCTTATCCCAGTCTAGCAATTGGATCTGCTTCCGAATGTTGGCGATCGTGGTGTTTGGATTGAAGAGTAGCAATAATAAGCATAATGTTGAGGTATGGCAGATGAATTTTTTTTGTAGAGAGCCCTGAGGTAAATGGCAATTTTAGAGAGTGATGATAGCAATTAAAATGCTGTAGAAGCGGCGTTGAGAGATAATACTTCCAGAGAATGACGAGCAGAGCAGCGTATGCCATTCTAGGGCTTCAGAACTCACAGTTTGGGAGCCAATGTTGTAAGCATTTTTGTAATTGGAATTAGCGTTTATCTATGGTCAAGAATTGCGAAAATAAAGGAAGCATAACTTTTGTGGATACGGCGTATAAACTACCTATATATACTTATAAAAGACTTGTTAATAGCGCTAAAACAGCTTTTGTGTAACAATAATGCTTTCCAAGTAAAGCTTTAACCGCTGCTAAAATTTAATAATTTGGAATTTTATTTTAAATTACTTAGTCTTGAGGAAGCTTCAGATTACAAAAATAAGATTAAAAAGGTAAACATAGTTCCATCATTATAATTTAAGATGGAGATTTTATTGTAGAGAAACTGAAGGAACAGGAAATAAAAGCGCGATTTCTAAAATCATGGTATCATTATACTTAGATTAATCATACACTATTAAAATTTCTTATTTTTTTAAGTATTATCTTGTATACAAAAAAGTAATACAGTACTTAAAATATACTTACCATACATATGTCTGACTACGAAACGGACTCGGTTGTCCCATGTGTAGGGATCCATCACTAGAAATGTCTGGAAAAAAAATTACGATGAAACATTTCTGTCTTTGTTGCTGTTACATATATATGTATATGTACAACATCACGAAACTATATTTATATACATGTATTTCAAGAATTTACAGAGCTGTGGCAATTTTTTATTTTCGCGATGACTGCATAGAATTTTCTTGCTTTAAGCTGCGAGAAATATGAATAAAAGATGATTTGTAGTAAAACGCTACTTCTCAAAGTCAATTTCTCATCTCGTAGAGAGCCATCTCTTCAACAAGTGGTTGCAAAATAACGGCAATATTTGACGTATGTTTTATGGATTTATTTTTGCCATATGGATATTCGCCATATTCGCCGTTTATGGATTTATATTCGCGATTGTAATAGACTCCAGGTATCAACTCCAGGTAGCATGATCAGGTATCAACAATGCAGAAAAATTTCGAAGAGAATGTTTTCAGAAAAAAGAGCTTAATTTCAATTGTTTTTACAAGTCTTTAAAATAACGTTTTTGTCATTCTATGTATTATGTGAAATCTTTAACTATATTCAAGCTAATTCTACATTTTAGCAAATCTGCGAATTATTTATTTCCATAAGCGACAATAAATCAGCTGGTATTATTTATTCTCATAAGCGATAATGATCTTGTTTTTCAGAGAAAAAGACTCGTGTTTTCATTACGTAGTTCTAGTTATAAAACTTCCTAAATCTATTAAAAAGATATGCTCGGGATACAACACGCATTCAATGCCACATTCAGTACTCGATACATTTCATAAATTCCTTATAGATGATGAAAACTCTAGCTTTCCAAAACTTCATCTCTCCTTATTTGAATCAACATGCAAATCGATATTTTAACAGAAAGCAGGATAAATTTGCCCCAAAATGGAACGTGACTGATCTTAACTTTTGCTTTGCTTATGCGGCTTATTCTGCATTTTCTTGTGCCCTGAAGAAATAATTTAGAGGCCGAAGCTAAGACTATCAATACGTGTACCAAATTATTTTTATTTCAGATCCTAAAATTTAAATAAAGAACTTTTCATTTTCATCCCCCCCCCAAAAAAAAATTCTTGAGTTATTGTAGCAGATTCTTAATTTTAGTTTTTAAGAATTCTTAGCTCTTATGCAGTCTACACATAGTTACATACTTGCCATCGGTTTAATTAAAATATATGTATATATGCTATTATACCTGTTACTGAAGCTCAAAAGTAGAAAATCGTAAAATATTTACTGATATATTCGCTGAATTTGGATTTACCAATATCGGCGGCAAAAGTCCAGGATATCTAGTAAAATATTCAGTTTTGATTCATTGAATAATGTCAATAAACTCCAAGGTTTATTCATACGCTTTGTTCGACAATATTAGTCATGGTAAAGTAGTATTGATAAGTATTATTCTTATAAAAATTAAAAGAGTTAACTAGGAAATAAAAATCTAATGAACCAATGTTTAAAAAGTTATTAAAATTCTTACAAAAAGTTACGTAAAAATCTTTGTCCAGTTTGTTTTCAAATATAATCTATATTTAAGGTTTTGGAAAATAAGCGTTTTAAGACTCATCGTAAAATAGTAAAGCAATACATACAGCTATTACAAATGCTCAGAAATTAACAATGTACGCTACGTAAAATATTTAGGTATGGAACCAGATTAAAATTTGTTTCATGCTGGTGCATCGACGGCCAATACATCACTGCAAACGGCCTGGAGGAATGAGATACGAGTTTGAGAAATGCCTTCTCGCATGAATTATTATATGCCTTCCATCTCTTATGCAATGTTTGTCTGGTTGTATAAGAGCTGCTGTTAGAAAAGGCAGGTTCCTCGCAAGAACTTCTAATGTACAGCTGCGGTTATGCGGAATTATTATTGCATACCTGCTTCAGTGACTGATCTGAAAGGTGCTGAAGATTCTCATAATTTGTAATTTCTTCAAAACCTTGAAATAATTTTTTCATGAGCTCATTTTTTGTTAACATGGATTAACATAAGTAAGATTATAGGCACCTAAGTCTGACTCTGGTCTGCTTCGAACCAGCCGATTATTGTTTTTCCGCATTACCTCATACAGCCGTCTTGATTCGGTCAAAGTGAAAATGAAAAGAGCAAATCAAATGTAAAATAACTTCTTTAATTTTTTATCAGTGTCTTCATTTATTAGTTCTATGCTTGCGTTTGCTTTCCAAAAACCTTCTTTTTTAATAATGATCGGATACTTTATCGAAGGCATTTGCCAAGTCTGACGTAGCCCATCTGTCTTCTAGCCGTCTCATCGCCAAGAACGTTACATAGGGGGCATTGTAAGGGGTAGTCCGTTCGCCTATTTCCCAAGTGCACATCTGTGTAGCCACCAAAGGAGTGGCTTCTGGCTGCACCAATGGGCATCCAGTAATATTTCTGTCATATCACATGATCTTTCGGCGAGCTTTAAGATTTAAGCAAGATGATTGAAAATATTTTCCCACGCAATTTTCTGTACAAAATAGAGCATCGTCGATTTCTTCTCAAATTTTCATTGCGAAGTTAGATCAAATGTAAGTAATTGTGAAGATTTCACTACCTTCACAATTGAAACCCACACAGTTGAAAGAATTGAAAATAAATACAAACCTATGTTGGATACTCCGCAAAAATATCCGCGTGAAATATCACTTAATAAGTGGTAAATAAGATGAAGAAAGAAATATGTGATAAACATCTGAGCCCAAATGCTATCTTTACATAAAACTATGCATATGAGAAAAAAATATTTACACCAATTTATATGTAAATAGAAGTCAGCACTTTTTATTGCAGTCTATATGAAAAAGATGTTCTATAATAGTAGCCAGTGCAGAATTTTACTCAAAGTGAACTTTACTAATTTGCATTTGTACACATTTAGTGTGTTAAATTTCAGATTTAATAACTGCTTACTGTTAAATTTACTATCTACACAAGAAATACTCATCAAACCGAATGAATGTATCTCACTCACATGGAATATATTCAATTTATTCACGTATAACTTTTAATGTTAACAATAGATATAATCAGATCATACACAGTATGTAGTTTGAATCTTAAGCTTTCAAAATCAAAAGAATGCAAGCACTGAAATAAGAAAATACTAGATGCACTGTAACACTTCCAGTCCTTCTCAGCTCAATTAAAAAAAAACTATACACTTGAATTCGCTTAATCCACAGGTGTTAGTAAATGCGTAATATTCAAGGCTAATTGTAGCTTGAGTCATTTTCTCGATGTAAAGAGCGATAATATACCGTGAAGATCAATCCAAATAACAATGCATGATAAAAATCGCGAAAGTGAAGTGTCTGCGATTGATTACACTCATAAAACGAAAACGCTACAAGACTTTCTGCTAAAACTCCATACATTTGTAATTGCGAAACAAATGTAAATTAAACATAAAGAACATAAGCTCACCGTCACAAGAGCAATAGAAGCTCATTGGTCCATTTTCGAAAGCCCTCCCTCAGTGGCTACACTGATGTGCACTTGTGAAGTATGCAGTCCGTTCTTATTCGCAAGAAGAAGGAGCGCGACACACGTGCAACGAAGCCTTACACAGGAGACAAACCTACAATGTTGTTTACGGACTGGCAGTCCAATGTTGTTTACGGACTGGCAGTCCACTATATCTTTCTGAGTGGTTTTTTGTAGATCTTTTCTACTGGATTGACGAATGGGAGCTTCATTTATTTATGGAAATCCTTAGGTATTTGGATAAATATGCGCATTAATGTAATTTATATAAATTTACTTACCTCCTGACATGGGGAATGTATTAGACAGTGTATGAATTCAATATTACAATTTACATATATATTTTCGTATATAGGAACGGAGAAAAAGAACTCTGAAGACCTGTTCATTTGCAAAATAGAAACTGCATGTTCTTCAATATTACTTTTGAATTTATTATTGAATCTGAATGCAGAAGGGATATGAGTTAGCCCTCAGTTATATCTATTCAGAATACCACTCATAATTTTCGTATTAACTTAAACATCAATATCATTTCATAATTGAAAACCTATGACCTTAATGGGAGGAAGTTAATGAATTATCAATGATGAAATGATTTTGGGGAACAATTAAATTAAAATGGTTCTATTCTTTTACGTGACCAGTTTGCGAAATCCATGTACTTGATTTTCTTTTTAACAGCAGACATTAAAAATCCGCTTCGCTAATGAACGGAATACATTCTGCAGATGAATAAATTATCTGAACAAAAGCCGAGGTTTTAGACAGAAGAAGAATACAGAACAGCTGCCTATCAAAATGCTCTGCTAGTTCAGATGACAACACGGTTAAATATTCAAAAGGAATGACAGGCGTCAGAAATAAAATATCGGAAAAAAAAAAAAAAAGAAAAGAAAACAGAAAGATCAATACTAAACGCTACCTAACAGGCCTCAATATCTGTTGAGAATCCATTAAAAAAATCTGCAATATATATGCCAGCAAAGACGTCTGACATCTGTGAAGTGAAGTGAACCCGTGCAGGCATACCCGTTGCTATTTTTAGCCAAACCGGACCGACTTAGAAAAATGGACTTTTTTGGAACTTCTTCATATAGATGTTGAGAAACTCATGTTTGAATCGAAGGAAACGGAGAGAGGAAGAAGGGGGGTTTAAGGTGAGGGATAGAGTAGATTTATCTTAGAATATCCTAAAAGTTCCGGAAAGTTTTGAAAGGTATTGGAAACATTATTAAACGTGCGCATTATGTATTATGCTGTAGAAGTAGAAATGGATTTTGTTCTTTGCTTGACTATACTGTGTGAATTTTAACCTTCCTGTAGTAAAAATCTCTTTCTAGTTCTTTAACTGTTCTAGAAATAAAATAAAAATCATTTACTACACATTAGGAAATTAATTTCCTAAATTCATGGTGATGTACTGTCCTATATATAAATAAAATAGGTTATGAAATGATCTATCTTATAAAAAGATAAAAGTAATTTTTTAAATCCTTTTTATGCTAATA